TGTCAAGTTTTACAAAGTCTGATCATGGAAAAATAACTTTTGTGTTTTCCAAATTTAAATATAAATGAACATTTGTTTAGTTAAAATTAAATCATATTTTACTATTTAATTTAAAGTCTTATAATTCAAAACACTGACCTTGACTTTCATATACTATAAAAAATTAAAATGTTTAAAACGGATTTAGATATTGTAATTAGATAATTACATTTTTTGTCAATAAATAATTATATTTTTAAAATTGTTCATGCCCGCACATGCGTGCGAGCCAATATCCTAGTAACTAAATAAATGGGAAAATATTAAAATATATAATAATTTATTTAATTTTTATTTTTGGTCTGCATGCATGTGCAAGTATAATTTTGTACAGACATAATCAGTTATAATATTTAAGTATTGATTAACTTTCTTATACATTATGTAAATGTTATGTTTTTATACATATACAATTTTTTGTTCAACAACAATCACACAAATATTTCATATCGTTTTGTATCTTTTGAGAACTTTTTATTTTTCCTAGCATTTACAGTAATATATAATTACAAATATAAAAGTTATATTAAATAATAATTAAATTCTTATAATATTTTTAGAATATTATCTATATAATACTTTCTTTTTCTCTTTACATAATATAATCTTGCCAATATATATATTTTAAGTATACATTTTTCCTTGAACTACTACTATTTAAACAAAAATGAATTCTACCATATTTATTTATAGTAGATGATTGGTCCGCACATTCGTGCGTAGTAACCACCTCAGCGCTCTTACGACGTATAAAGATTTTTTTTTATAAATATAAATTGTCTAACAACTAAAATTAAAATTAGAGTGTAATCGAAGTTAACAAAATGTATGCACATAAAATTTGCATTCGAGTTTGATGTTTGCACAATTAATATTTATATCTACACGCATATTTGTAAGAAAATCGAAGTATGGCTCTTATGTGTTAGAAGAAAATAACAAAGTATATGTTTTGTAATATATATTTTCACAATATATGGTTGATTTAAAAAATAATAATAATAAGTATATTTATGCATGTATGTATGAGTTAGAAATAAGTGAGTTGTAATATTCAGGTGTTCATAAGTTTTTCAGGTATTTTCCGCAAACGTTATGTTTTTCGATGATGCAGTTATTGACGCTTAATAACAATCACGGAAACCATTTCTTTCGTTTTGAATTTAATCAAAGTTTCTTATTTTTCAGCGTTTGATGATATATGGTTTCTCAATAAAAATATAATAAAAAATTATTATAAAATTTGTAAAATCATATTTTATAAAATTCTCTGGTAGCTCTCTGTTTATCTATTCGTCAAATTTTTTATAATCCGCAATTGCTCTCTTCCACACACTCTCTGTAACCTAATCGTCTAAACCAATCAGATCTAAACTTATATGTGTATGATTTAAGGTGTAAAATAATATATTTAATATATGATTGTTATTAAAAATTAAGAGATCATATATTCCTAACTTTAATATATTTGTTAATATAAAATATAATGGATCACAACATATACAAAACTTGATTCATGAAATAATGTTTTAATATGTTAGAAAAAAATATGCATGAAATAATTAATATATGTAAGATAATATTTTTAAATATTTTAAATAAAACTTAAAATCGATCAAAATTATTCTAATTTATTTTTCTCTCTTCTTTGACGCATACCTTTTTTCCTTAACATTTATAATATATTAACATTAAATAATCTCTAATGTATTTTTCTATTTTTTTCCTTTAAAATATAAGTGAACTTCTCTCCAACATATTTCTATTTTATAAAAAAATGATTGTTACTTTTTACTCTATAATTGGAGAAAAAAAAATAACAACCTTTCTTTTTTTCCCTACATTAGAATATTTAAAACAAAGGTTTGTTGAAGATGCTTTAAACAAAAAATATAGTCTGAGATTTTTGCATGAAGCCAAAATCGTAAAGATCCATTTTTACTTTTACTTCAACTTTTTATTCATATATACATATTAAATTTATGTTTCTATCTGTTTATTTTTTTGTTTCATTTATAATTTCAAATTATTGCTATATAATGAGAATTCATTCATATATGATATAAAATTTTCTTCTTTAAATGAGATTTATTTATTTTTAACTTAATCAATCAAAATATTTTGTTTATTTTAGAAAATTTATCATGTCACATTTATAAGGTGACATTGTTTTGCACTAATTTTTGCTAAGGTGATGACACATCTGATTTTTTTATTAAACATGCTTTTCAAATAATAGTTAAGATTGTACTTAATATATATATATATATATATATGAATCATATATTCTTGTGTAAAAGCATTATAAACCATTGTGATAAAGGGTTTGCACAACAAATTGGAATCCGGCTAATGATTCGACCTCTTCAAAAAGAGATGAAGACCAAAAAAAGGCAAAGAAGAGATTATTAGCTGAGAACAAATGTTTGTTACTTTTGGTGAATGTTCTGAAATTCCCTATGTTTTTTATCATGGTGAAATGTTCCTGAAATTGTTTGCTTAGCTCTGTTTTGTAGATAAATTGACCTTTTATGTTTTGGCTTTGCATTTGCTTAGGTTGCAAGATACAGTTGAGTCAGTTCTTCCACCTAATGGGTTAATCTTCGATCAGACATGTTAAAAGCAGAAATGTAAAACCAGCTCATTCTGCGATATTAAGTCAATTAGTTTCAGGTTACATGGTTTACAAACCACCCACAGTTTTGACACTTCTTATATATGCATACAAATAAGTCTACATGCATACAAATAAGTGTAATAAAATCATGGGTTTATGGAATTTAGTTCTAGAACAGCTGAGATTAATAAGAAAAACGAATTAGAGAACATGCATTGCTTATTGGACTAGGTTACCATAAGCTCCCAACATATTACGAGAAGAACTTGGTCAATTTAAGCTTTGTTAATGTTGAACCACAAAATCACTATTAGGGTTTGATTAACAGTTGTGGGTTTCGGAGAATAAGGTCTTTTTATTAATAGCAAATAAGCGAAGCGATTACAAAGAAAGGTATATCCGAGAGGTTATCCCGAAGTGAAAAAGGTGTTTGGTAAGTAAATTAGAAAGCGTTGGAGTCTCTGGTTTTAGCTATGCTGCTCTCTAGAATGTATGAGTTGTCCTTTTTTGGCTTCGGGGTCCCTTTATTTATAGGGATAGGAGGTCGGTTGCTCCGAACTCCTTTTCCTTTTTCCCTTTAGTGAATATTTTCATATTTGGGATATGGAAATATCTCTTATTCTCCGAAGAATATGGAAATTCTCCTTTATCCTTCGAGTTAATCCGATGTTTCCGGTCTTCGAAGGTTATCACCAATAAATTTCCTTTAATCCGAACTAGGTCGGCGTGGTTTTCTTGATCTTGATAGGCTTAAATTACTGCTAGAGAAAACCTTTTAGGAAATATGCTCATTTTCCCTCTAACAGTTAACAAAAGTGAAAAAATTTTAAATATAGCAGTGTTATATTTTCTAGAATCTGTGATTAAAAGAAAGAAGAAGCCAGAGAAAGATATATGGAGGTTATGAAGCCTTTCCTGGTCAAGGTGGTGGACGATCAGAGGCTGTGTGAAACTTTTCCATGGGGAACATTCACATTTATTGACTGCATAGAGAATATTCATGGCATGTTGGGATGGCTCAAAAGCAGGTGAAAAATACACGGACTTTCCTTGGTCTTATAACTCAATTAAAGATAATATTTACTTTTCTTGTTGAAAATTTTGTTTAGACTAGTGTGAGATTGATAGTTAATTTATTTTGTTAATCTCTTCAATAATAAGCAGCATATAAAAAATGAATAAAATTACGGAGAGGAAAAAATAAAGATACATACGACAACGTATAAGTATAAGATCGAGTTTTTTAAACAATTAATACATCATAATTTAATTTAAAAAATATATTAATAGCTCTAAATATTTTCAGATTAATTAAAAAACTAAATCAGTATTTAAAATTAAAAATGAACAGAACAAAGATAAAATAGATAAGTGTAATGGTAATTTAAAAATATGATTTCAATTAAGAAGTAAAAAGATTTGGTGAGATTGATAGTGAATTTCTTCTGTTGATCTTGCTCAAAGTAAGTGACCTAAAAGAAAAAAAAAACAATTGAATAAAAATATTCCGTGAGAAAATATAGATATATTCGATAATATAAAAGTATGAATGTGGATTTTTAACAATTAACATATCACAATTTCTATTTAAAAAAACAATTTCACAATAGATCTACATATTTTAGGATGATAAAAAAACTAAAAAATATTTAAAATTGTAAAATAGAACAAAAAATATTAAAAAGGTAAACGTAATAGTAATATAAATATATATAATTATAAATTTAAAAATTGGATAAATAAAATAGTTTCGCAAATTTCTGTCGAAATATTAATTCAAAGTACTATTTCAACTAAGAAGAAAAAATAATGAGTGAGACTGGTGGTGAATTAACTTTGTACATCTTACTAAAATAATTAAAAAAAATAAAAATAGTAGCCAATTAAATAGAGATATTCAATAGAAAAATATAAATATTTATAATATCTTATAAGTATAAGAAAATATTTATTATCATTTATGATTTAACACTTTACAATTTTATAAGCAAAAAAACTTTACAATAATCTCATATATTTTAAAATAATGAAAAACAAAAATAATATTTTTAATTTCAAGAGAAAAAAAAAAGAAAATATAAAACCAGAAAAAATAAAAAAAATAAATAAACATAATAAAAATAAAAATATATAAAATTAAAAATTTGATTTACAAATAATTCTGTTCAACGTGCGAATTAATTTCTAGTTTAAACTAGATATTTTAAGTCAATAATAAGCCTGATATTATTGGGCTTTGTTGCTATCTGTAGCCCATGAGAAGTTTCAGCCCAATTTATTAACGTAACATTTGCTTTTTTGTTCTTTCGAAATTGATCGAGAAAAAAATATTGGTCGGCAGAAGAAAAAAGACAAAAAAAAATACTATTTGATTTCTTCTCTCACTCTCTCTCTCTCTCTGTACATTTGCTGTCATCTTCTTCGAACATCAAACCCAAATTCGAAAATTCAAAATCCCGCCTTGGCTTTCGTCTACAAACCCTAACGTCGGTGCATCCAGCACTTCTCTCCGGCGAACGTTGTTGACTCATCGATTGGCTCAAATCGTCCCGCTACGTGACCTAATTCTCCGTCTCACCAAGGTACTTTCTCTATCTCCCCTCTTCGTCTTCCTCCCATAAGCCTCTCCAATTTCTTAGGGATTATCCCAATCGTGTAACTATCTTCCTCATTGTTCTTCGCAATCTGGAAATTTTCGTCTCTCAATTTGTAGAATAACGCGATATTTAGATACCAATTGGTTTTGATTTTTTTGTTTGCGACTTTGCGATTCTCCAGATCCAGATTATTCCAAATCCAGGCTCCTTTCATAGGGAAATGGAACGTTATGTAACCAGAAGAGATAATGTTGTTAGAGAAACAGGTATCTTTACTCTCTCTCGCTTCTTCTATACTTAGTGAAAATTTGGAAAAAAAAAAACAAATCTCCTTGGACATGGATTCGGCCTCTGAGTGATTATTTTGCAGTTAAAGAAGTGAAATTAACAAAAGAAGAAGAAGAAGAAGATGGTAACGATTGTGAACTGGATCTACTCTACCTTGTACATTCTGATATCTCATCTCTTCTCCTTCAGGTGCTTGCTACTCTTGGCTTGAGATATTTAGTCAAGTTTGTGTCTTTATGTCTCTTTGTCTGATTTCGCTATGATCAATAACTTGTTTTGGTACATACAGTACTCTGAATTATTAGTTATGTGAGTTATGGGTTTTGGAACTTCAGATTGATGACCTCGTTGTTAAAGCCACAAAGGTTAACACCATGAGCAAACAAGGGACAAGAGAAGTTAAATCCTTCAGATCTGTGTTGTCTGATATGCATTTCTCACTAAAGGTTTCATTCCCTTGACCTATTGTGGTTTTGGTCATTTTGCTTTGGAGATCTAATCTTGTTTTATATATGCAGCCATGGTTTCCTCGATTGCAAGAAGCGATATCCAATTCTCAATTGCTTCCAAAGGATCAGGAAGAACAGTTTTTGATGAGCAGTAGCAGTGTGCGTCCCCCAAGCGAAGAAGAAGAAGATGAACTGTTTGATGTTGAGAGTCCTGAGCCTACTCAATTTGAACCCTTAGTCTCTCCTTCTCCTCTTGTATCATGGCGCGGCGATCATAACGCCGACAAGGGAAGACAACTCTTTCTCTTGACACCACTACCATTAGGCAAATCTGAATACCTTAAACATCAGAACGCCTCTAAGCTGAAATCTAAAATTTTTTTCCCAAAAGCTGCTGCAAATCAACCGACAGAAGCTTCTGAAGAAGCAAGTGATGATGTTTTAGGAGTTGTGTCCATGAAAACGTGTGAGCCATTGTCTTCACCAGTTCTCGGGAGAAAAATTGAGTCTGAGCTTCTAATGACACCTTGCTTGAAGATGTCGCCTCCGAGATCTTTAACATTGTTTAAACCGGTTCCTGAATCTTCTCAACCGGAAAAGCAAGGGGCTTGTGAGTCTACTTGCTCTGAATTGGGAGCTAGCACTTTCAATGGTTCACAGAGCTCTGGTTCATCCTCTGGTTTAGATAAACCAGACGATCTCTATTCAAAGTATCCTGAGCTTTTGGGAATACATCATGCTCCAATAACTAGAAAGACGGATCTAGAATCATCTCCGGTTTGGGGGTTTTCTCCTCCTAATACATGTGTTTTGCTGGAGCATGTGAATGATAAGAAACCAACTGATGAAACTGGTGGATCAAGAACGGTATCATCATTTGCTTTTCCATATGTTGAACCAGAAGCAGAACACACAAAAGGTAAACAATTTGATGTTTTGGTCATTTCGTTGCGAGTCCTATGATCTTTATGTTTTCTCGACTGTTTTCTTAGAGGTAAGTATGTCAATGGTGGTTGAGAGTACTCCATTGTTGAAAGAAGCAGAGAGTGTAATGACGAAAAACAGAACAAGAGCGGGAGAGAGTACTCTGAAGAAAGAGTTATGGACAAGATTTGAAGAAGCTTCGATGCACGAAAATCGTTTCAGCTCGATGACGACAACAACGGTGAGAGGAAATAATAAGAAAGGGTTCATGGAAATGTTAGAGGAAGTGTGTGGCAGTGAAGAAAGTTAGGTTTTAAATTGATGGAACAAAGCACCAAAAGATAAGTCTATAATAGCTTTCTTCTTCTTCCTTTGTTTGTAATTTTGTCAATTTTACGGTTCATCTTGTTTCGATTGGTTCCATTGAAATGAAGAGGAAAATTTAATGAAATGAACAGTAGAGAAAATGAGTTTTATTAAAAATCGAAAACATTTGTTTAAAAATCGTTGATATTTCAACATATTTTTTTGCCTAAAAGTTCCGTATATAATTTGGAAATTTTTTGTACCGTTTGTTCGCGTTTTGGTGATCGGCAACGGCTACTTTTTTTGAAGGTATGTTTATCAAACTAATTCAGTTTATTCTTGGATTTTTTATATCATTTCGCTTTGTGCATCAATCTTTTAAATATGATATCCACCCTTCGTTTATAATTTGTTGTATTATGATTTATTAATATCAAATTAAAAAGCTTTTTAACCGGATTTTGTAGACTTATAATTTGTACTAATGTGGCTACAATGTCATAACCGAATTTAAGCTAAAATAGTGTGAGTTGTGACGACAAAGAAAAAGCTCTAAACCACATGAAAACCAACACAACTGTCATTGAATTATCATACCGAAACTGATCATAACTAACATAATTCATTGTCAAATCTTATTCGCGTATAAGTGTGTGCCAAATGTTGGGTCAAAGATGAACTCATATGTGATGAGAATAAAAAAAAAACATGGAAATTTTAGTTTTTCCCTGGCCTAATTCAATTTCACGGTCTGAATTAATCAGAACCTCATATCTCGCGTAAAACTTTGTGTTTGTTCACGACCCACTACAAAGTTTGTCTTCCACCTATATTATTAATACTAATTAATATCCTTTGTTAATACTTATATAAAAGTTGGTCTTAAACACAAAGAAAGCAAACATTTGACTTTTTTCAAAGTGGACACTCGTCCCCAACGAAACAAGGAAACCCTATGTCGAAAATAACCAATCAACCTCATGAGATTTGATCTTTCATATGTCCCTACATTCTAGGGAATTTTCGACCGAATATTATATATATGTTCATACATTTGATAGATAAGATACCCCCATATATAGCCCTAAGTTTAATATTAAAAACTAATTAGTTATCCAACACTATAAATACCATTCATCTCCCTTCTCATATCTATATTCTCCATAACTCAAAGTAACAAACATACACATAAAACATATAGAAGAAGGATCAACAACACAAGATCGGGATCAACTATGGCTACAAAGACCTCAGCCGCACTTGCTTTATTCCTCGTGACCAATCTTCTCTTCCTCAACCTTATTACTCCCGTTTTCGCAAACAATACTTGCCCAAGAGACGCACTCAAACTTTCTTCATGCGCAAATATTCTCAACCTCATAAACTTGAACCTTGGCGCACCGGCTATGAGACCTTGTTGCTCTATTCTTTTCGGTCTAATCGATCTGGATGTTGCGGTTTGCCTTTGCTCCGCGCTTAAGCTCAGCATTCTCGGCATCAATATCGACACTCCCATTCACCTTAACTTAGCCCTCAACGCTTGTGGAGGAAACCTTCTCGATGGCTTCCAGTGCCCAACATAGCTATACAATACATTCATATTCTCTATGTATGTTTTATCGAGTTGGTTTTGTCTAACATCAGCCAAATTCAAACATAGTTTCATGTGTAAGCAATTAACGAATAAGACTAAGACATGTATAATGCTGTGATAGATATATGTATCATACTATTGAAACCGTGTTACATGTGTATACATGTCTGAATTCACTAACTAAAATTTCCCAATAGCATACTGAAAACAAAAAGTACATCAAATTAATCTTTAATATATTATAAAATTAATTTAAATTTCTTAAACACAAAATTAATGTCAAATACATTAAAATTGCCGGTAAATAAGTTTCAAACTTTAAATTCGGTCTAAAATTTATGGTAATATAGTGTTATATGAAAATTTTGAAAGGAAAATATATCTTCAGCCAAAAAAAAAAAATTCTCGTCAACACAAAATTTAATATTAAATTATCAGTAAATCATATATATGAATAGATGAAGCCCTCTCCAACAGTTTGATATTAGTTTAGAGAATGACACATGGCCAAATGATTTACTCCCTCCGTTTTTTTTGTATATGATGTTTAAAGATTTTACACATAGTTTAAGAAATCATTTAATTTGTTCCAAAACAAAACATGTTTTATCATCAATTCCAAAACAATTCAACCAATAGAAAAATAACATACAAAATAAAAACACTTAAATCAATAAAAATGCAATTAATTTCTGCTTAGATATGTGAGAACATCAACTATTTTTGAACAAAAAAAATCTCTAAAACATCTTATATAAAAAAAGGAGGGAGTATCTATCAATAAGATCCATGATCCATCAATCTCTCCGTCCGTCGTTATAACTTCTCTCGTGTGTTTCTAAAACTAAAGCACACAACGATTCGTCATTTCACTTTTTCTTACTTGGTCTTCCTGTTCTCCTCCTTCTTTCTTCTATGCTCAATTTCAGTTCCGTTTTTTTTGTTTTCACAGCTCGTTTTCTTCATTCTATGTGCTTTTGTTACCTTTCATAGCCACAAGGATCCAACATAGTCAGAAGCTCGGGTAAAACTTATAGCTATGATCGAGTTTTCATCAAAATTGTATTGTGTGTCATCTTTGATTTTTGTCTTATGATGATAGGAGAGGTGAAGGGAATGATTTGCCTCAGTTTCGTGAATTCTCAATCAAGACTTGAGTTGTTTTCTCATCCTTAGGAACCCGTGAACACGAAGCATCCACAACTTCACTACGAATCATAAGTCTAAATGCTTCTTCATGGTTTTAAGAATAAATGTTTTGAGATATCATTACTAAACTCTTCTTTTAATTGTTCTGTATAAGATAAACAGAGTTGAGTACATGCACTAAAGAGGATTTCTTAACCGTGACATTAAACCGCACAAGTTTTTCATGGGTCTCGGTCGTCATGCATTGCTTCATAAGAGTGGATTGAAATTATTAGAAGAAAAATAAGAATCTAACAGGAACTGCTCGATATGCAAGTTTCAACAAACACCTTGGGATTGGTGAGAACTGTTTTCATGTCACAAATCAAATCAGAATGGCTTTCATTTCATATTAAATCATTTAATGTTAGATAACCCTTCTCGTTTAATGTAGCGCAAAGTAAAATAAATGATCTCGAGTCGCTTGGTTATGTGCTGCTGATGTATGTTCTACGAGGAAAGTAGGAATCTATCTTGGTTTGTTTGCTATTAGAGAAATCTTAAAAGCATCATGAAATTCTAAAACTTGGGACGGCATGAATCGTCTTGTCTTAGTCTACCATGGCAAGGTCTAAAATCTGATACCAAAAAACAGAAATATGACAAGATTAGTGAAAGGAAGATGTTTACTTAGTAGATTTTTTTCGCTAGCTTAGTGCTTACTTCCTACATGATTTAAATATTACAATATAGGTAAAACGTTTTCTCGATTTAAAATTTTGTTGTTCAAATCTTATATTGTCTTTGAGTGTAGTTTCTTAATCTTAGATTGTCAAAGACTTATTTGCTTGAAACTACGCACAAAACCTTACATCCTTTAATTCTGTTTTACGTTACATATGTGTACGTATGGAAATATCTAACTTCTAACATAAACTTCATATCTCCTTTCACTGAATCTGTTGTTTTTAAAAAAAAAAAAAAACTTCATATCTCCACAACTCTTGTCCCTATGTAGGTATTGATTTCATAGTATCTTCCATTGAAGCTCTTCTGATTCATGAGTAAATAAATACATGTTTTCTTTGTAATGATTTATATTTATGTTATACAATTGTTATAAAATCAAACAATTGTGTATGAAATTACATAAAAACTATGCAAATATGTGCGGGTATTAGCCTAGTAGGTTTTAGAAAGAGGCCCAAACTTTGTATAGATACGGTGCTATATGAAATTCCGAAGAAAAAATATATCTTCAGCCCAAAAAAAAAAACAATCCTTAAATTGAGGCCCTGGATAAAGAGCAATATATTTAGCGTACGGCCCACGTGCCCTAGAATTTATATAGAGTGGAGCAAAAACCCTAAAATGTTGGGTGAGGTCGTGGCGAGTTTAGCGATGGCGCCACCCACAGCCATCGATCCCAGTCAAGAGCCACCGCCAAAGAAGCCGGCTACAGAACCGACCTCGATTCTGCCACTTCCAGGTCATTTGGAAGTGAATTGCTTAGCACGCGTCTCAAGACTGCACCACCCGATTCTCTCACTCGTCTCCAAGAGCGTTGGGTCCGTCATTGCTTCACCAGAGCTTTACGAGGCCCGATCACTCTTAAACCTCACCGAGAGTTGTCTCTATCTGTGCTTACATTTCCCTCTAGAGCCTAACCCTCGCTGGTTCACTCTCTGCCAGAAACCTAACAAAACCCTAAACAATCACATCACTAAGAAGAAGAAGAAGGAAGGATCATCAAGTGGAAATGTTTTGGTTCCGATTCAGTCTCTCAACTCTCCTTCTATGAAGTGGTTAAACCTCGTCGCTATTGGTCATAAGCTCCACGCAATTAGCTTTGGAGCCACCGAAGATGGTGATGGTACTTGCTCAGACGATTTCTTCTTCGACTGTCGAACTCAAACGTGGGTCGAAGCTCAAAGCTTTCGTTTTGATCACAAGGCTAATTGCGAATCTGATGGGAAGGTGTATGCAGCAGGAACCTCGGAGAATCCAGTTTCTTCAGAATCTGTTGAAGTGTTCAACAAAAAGACTCAAACTTGGAATCCCACGCCGATCACGAAAAGGATGTTCACGGTGAGAAGTGTTGAAGGAATGATTTACGTGAACTCTGATGCAGTAGGATTCGATGTGAATGTGCGTGGATTTGTTGTTTGTTTGATAGATAAGATAATCTATGGTTATAGTAAACCTTGTGGGGAGTTTCAATGGGCTGTGGATGAGTTAGGTGTCTGGAGGAAAGTAGAGGGCTTGGAAGGAGCACTGCCTAAAATTGCTGGTCATAGTCCTGTTAGATTGGCTAATTTTGGTGGTAAGATGGTGGCTTTTTGGGACAAGTATGTGCCTTCAAGTGGGTATAAGGATAAGGTGATATGGTGTGCTGTGATTGCGCTTGAAAAGCAAAGCGGGGAAGAGATTTGGGGGAAAGTGGAGTGGTGCGATGCTGTGCTTACAGTCCCCAAGGCTTACAAGTTCGTGTATGCTATCGCTGCTACTGTTTGATTCACGACTCTCGCGAGACAGGTTTGAACGTAATGAATCAGATTATGTAGCTTTGTGTTTGTTTGTTTTGTATGTCACTTTTGAAGGAATTGTCTTGTGTTTGTTTTGACATTGTGTTTTGCTTATAATCATCTGTTGTTGTACTCATTTGCTTGTTGATGATTAAGCTTGTTTTGTAACTGTGTTTGATCCCAAACTCTTTATGCTACTGTTTGATGAATGATTCAGTTCAGGGGACAAGCGGGTAGTAAAGTTTTTGTTCTGAATATATACGTCTTTCTTGTGGTGTGTTTCTATTTTCTTTTGTATGTGACTATGATGATGAGTGCACTTTTTTTGACATTATCACTTTAAGCTTTATTTTGTAACGGGTAATAACCAAATGTCTTTGAAAACACTTTGTGTTGCTGTTGCATTACCTGCTTGCATAATAGGGATACGGTTCTCTTTACAACCATATGAGAATAACTAAGACAAGATACATTGTTAGTGCTTGTTTCTCATTTGTGTAATGATCAAGTTGCATAGATTCTATTAAGCTTATGTTCATGTATTGTAGTGAACCTACAATGATTTTTATCATGTCAGAAATCTTTTCGTCACATAATATGCGTTTATTTTTTAACGAAAATATATTTTTACAAAATTGTCATTAAAGGCTTATATATAAGTTTATTCTTGGATTTTTCAATCGATAAAATATGAAACTACTCTTAAAATTGTCTAGACGTTGTATAGTGTGATTTAGTAATATCAAATTAGAAGGCTTTTAACCGGAGTTTTTAGTCTAATAGTGGCTTGTACTAATGTCGTCGCAATCTCATAATTCGAGTTTAAACAAAAAGTGTGTGAGTTATAGACCACACGGAGTATTACAGTGTTCAATCTTATTCGCGTAAAAGACTGTCAAATGTAGTCAATATCAAAAGATGAACCTATATGCGATCAGAGTAAATTAAAATACAAGTCTTTACTTATATATTTATTTGTGAAATCACACGGCCTAATTGTAGGTCGACGGGATTTAAAATATGTTACGATACTATATTTGTAAAAGTAATGATCTTCATTCCAAAATCATGCGATCACGTTAGATTCATTCACTAGTATATACTTTGGAGTTTGGCTCGTACATTTTCTAATGTCTAGCTTCGTTTTACCACGAAAAGCAGAGAATAATGATTACATCTACATATATGCATGATCCAATTCGCTTATATCTAAAAATTCAAATTCACGATCTCAATTAATTTGAACCTCATATCTTGCGTACAAATTTGTATATTGTTTACCAACCAGTCGAAAACGTTTCTTTTCTTTTTTTTGCTAATGGATATAACGAAAACA